AAGCCAGCGAGTATTGTCAGGATTTATCCTGGCTGAGTTGCTCTCAGTATATAGCAGGCTATCGCCCGCTATATACTGAGTTTTGGGGCATGGGAGGAGGTTAGTATATGCCCTCCCATGACCCTAAAGAGAACCATGGGGGGAAAAAAAGGTTACCCCATAATTCTCCTTTAAGCTAAGAGTAATTAAACCTTTACTTACCTTGACTCTGGATAGCTGCATACCTAACCTTTTAATACTAAACTCCTTTCAGCACCTGAGCCAAGATTAAGCAGCACCAATATGAAATCATTTGAGATTCCATGACATTTGCTATTACAGAGCAACTCTTCCAGTTTATGCAGTTACCTACTTAGGATAACTATGGGACTGCTGTGTGACTTGGGACATGTTCACCAACATTTTTCAATAATTTGCCTTTTTATTATGTACATATATACCTCTATAATATATGCTGACTGTCAATTAACATTTTACTGTCGTCAATGATGAATATATTAAATGTGCATGCTTGGCATTCAGGATTAACCTCTGTGCAAGAGACAAAAGAAGAGTTTGTACAATGTCAGATAAGGCTTTTATACAAACGTATATATTAACTGGTCCACTCTGTGTACAGCACTGCCACTCCAATATCAAATAGCAGCAAGGACAGTTATCAAATTATTTCTAAAATTGTTCAATTATTCAATATCCTCTTAAAGTCTGGTGCCTGCAGGATTTAGGCTTCCATGCTCTTACTCAATCTGAAAAAGACCTTAAACTTGTGTTTCTGTTTCTTCTGCATAGCGGATTGTAGGCAGCTTCAGGATTCAGGTTTATGGTCAGAGACATAACTCCCAAACTTCATAAAAACATGGAGCGACACACAATTCTCCTAGTTTTAGTTACTTCTGGGTATGTGAACTCCCACACACCAGTGCTTAGCCATTGGGGTTATGTTTTCCATAACTTTAGTAAATCTAATAAGATAAGGAGAAAGGATGTTTAATGGGCCAAACAGATAGGGCTACAAACTTATTGATAATAACAAATGACTCCAGGTGTGTCATTCAACTGATATCTTGTTGCACTTTAACATGGTTGAGGAAACAAATATTATAGAAGTTTGAGCACTTCATTATCATATATCCCCGAATTCTTTGTCCATATTTGACCAGAACATACAAATGTCACACTGGTGGTGGCTCTTCAGCTGCTTGGTCGTTTACCGTATTAAATGTCAGTTATGTATATACCTTCCTAACAATTTGAATATCCATTAACACACAAAACATTTCTAATGCAAATAGAAACTTTAATGTGAAGCGTGTATATCAGAAAAAACTTCCAAAGTACAAAAAAATCTTTAAAAAAAAATCAGATCAGAACAGGGTAGAATAAAATTGTAATCACAATTCCATTGATTATGATACCAACTTACAGCAAGTCTTAAGTAATTCCATACTTTCTTGTTCTCCAGCCATGTTATGAAAGGGTGCCAAAAGGTTTATTAACAAAAACAGTAACATTTCAAGTCCATTTCCTATGCTGATGTTCAAATGCTTAATTTATGATGAGATGTGCATACTGTATGTAACACATGGCAAGAGTAGGTTTCCTTTATCTTTGGTGTTAGAGTTTTCTTTGGGTTAATCTCTCTACTACAAGGTCCGCGCTCTGCAATTATTCATTTCTTTTGTACTTTCATTCTTACGCTGATCTCGATATGTTGTGATAGACAAAGTGTGATTCTCGGGTTTGAATCTGTTGCCACATAGAACTGAGGCCTTTCAATGGCCTGTGTCAATACATAAAATAGACCAGCAGACAAACAGACAGTTGAAATACATATATGTGAATTGTTTCACTTGGCAAAGTACTTGTAATATTGTCCAGCCACCCTTGTGATTCACACACCACTGCCACATGACATAGCCAGACATATGACCCTTCATTTAGCTTGCTATGTCACCTGCATATGCACTGGAAACTAATCAGTATCAATACACTGCTGATTGGTAGTCCAATGAACAGACAAGGGACAAAGAAAGCTGCATCCTATTGGCTGCACAGCATGGCAGTTGTATGTATATTAAATAGATATGGAAATGAAATATAAGCTACAGATTGCAAAATATCTATCATGTCACCCAACCCAACCCAAACTTGGGTGTATATGGCCAAACCTTACTGATCTGGAAGTTTGGCACCAACATAGAAGTTATGGATTATACTGAAGCAATAGGAACCGTTTATTCGACCGCTGCATACTTGTGCAACTGTGATCAGCAATTGTTTAGATTTTCTGTGATACCCAGCTTGTATCAAAGTGTACACTGGACAGGTTACTTGGCAAGCAAGTTATCCCATGACTTGTACTTAGGCAAATATTAAAATTATGCTATTTACCAGTTCATGTGTAAACAGAACACACGAGGCGTTCATCATCTATTCTAGTGCTGCCTGACCTGATGATAGAATATCTTCATTTCACAACATGGGGAACTCCCAGATACTAGTATTCATGTAATGGCAGTGAACCCAACAGCCAGAACACAAACATAGGTCACTACTGATCAAAGGAACATAGTGTAATGTTACAACAATGTTTATTTTAGCAAATTATTATAACCAAAATTTAGAGCAAGATATATCTTCATTATTCATAGTTTCTGACAGCGAATATACTTCCTAAATGATTGATGAGAACTGTTTAACACTACCAACTACTACTGATGTAAAGTACCTACTGGACTGAAATGCAAGTGTAAATAGTGGAACTTTCCAGAGCTAAATTTTAGGGTTCTTCAATATAAGCAGGCCTGTAACCTTCACACTTTGGGTGATCGTAGGTCATCTCTAATTTCCTATGCACACCAGAAGTATGCAAAAGATCCAGCTGCACACCTACAACCTTATTAATAGTGCACCAGGTACTACCGTGTTTCCCCGAAAGTAAGACATCTTCCGAAAATAAGACCTAGCGCTATCTTCGGGGATGTCTGTAATATAAGACCTAGTTCGGGGTAGGTCTTATATTACAGACATCCCCGAAGATAGCGCTAGATCTTACTTCCGGGGTAGCTGTGAAGACCGGCCGCAGCTCCCTCCCGCCCCCTCGCCCGTCCACCTACCCGCACGCTGTTGCTCTCTGGATGACGACATCAGAGCGGAGAGGCAGCTCCCTCCCGCCCCCTACCCGACACGCCCCCCCTCCAGCAGCACGCATGCCCGCCCCCTCGTCTCCTTAGTTCCGAGCGGAGAGGCAGCTCCCTCCCGCCCCCCTGCCAGACACGCCCCCCCGGCCGCACGCATGCCCGCCCACCTGTTTGTGGCTCCCTGGACGGCAGAGCACAGCTGCAGCCAGGTAAGACATCCCCCGAAAATAAGACCTAGTGTCTTATTTCGTGCAAAAAAAAAAATAAGACACTGTCTTATTTTCGGGGAAACACGGTATCTCAGCCGTAAACAAATCAGAAAATGTTTGCATGCAATTCTCAGCAGTCAAATACAAATGTATGGTACAAAGAAATGTTGCAGAAGTGTAATACTGGATGGTGGTATAGTGTTCAGTGTTGCTGTGATATAAAGTTGACCATGAGATTCAAAGAATGCTGATACATAGAAATGATGGCTCTTAGTGTAGCAGTTATATAGTACCACATTTTCACATTGCTGGTGCACATTCAGTTACTTAAAAAGCAAAGAACTAAAGATACAGTGTATGAAATGTTATTCACTTCCTGAGGACCATAAAACATGAGGGATATCACTCAAGCTTAGTAATGAAATAATCCTTCTACTTCTATGCAAACCTGTCATTATTGAATTGTATAATACGTGTATCATCTCACAGCTATATGACCGATACGGTTCATTACTTAAATGTTATGTTACCTTGTAGTAAATAGAATAGTGCTTACTTTATTTTTGTCATTTTCAGTTAGAATCTGAGAACATGATTTTTTTCAGTGTGGAGACCAAGAACTTGGACCTGTATTCCACATCTTCATATACTGGTATATATTACAAAATGACTTGCAACCACGTGTACTGGATTGATATTAACTGGTCCATTTGTTAAGTATGTTTATTCTATAAATGGAACAAAACTGCAGTAGCCTGTGATATCACAAGTCACATAACGAAAGTCACACCAGTACAATGCGATTTCTAGCTGTTTATGTCTTTGGCACTTTGAATTTAGTTTACTGAATACGCCAGAGAGTGTTTAGACTGTTACAGACCGGATGCATTCAAATGTTTGTTCTAAATATTGTTTATTGTACAAATGGCTTTCTTTTTTCAGCTGAACACAAATGTATTTGTGCAGCCTTTGTGCCGAAATGAACCAAGCCTCCAGACCCCCTCCTAACAAGAAAAGAAATTCAAACTAGATTAGGAGGTCTTGTGGCTATATAGAAGTCTAATTGTGCAATTACAGTTTAGTGTTGTGCTATCAATTGAAATAGTGTAAATTAACCTAAGTGTAGTATGGCACCTTTTACAACTGGTCAGCGGATACAGTTTTTTGGCAATGGGGTTATGGGGGATCGTTGAAGTCTCCTTTTAACTTAGCATTGAGCATGTGGTTTAAAGCAAAACGCTAAATCGTTTTTTTTTGCTCTGAAAATGTATTTTGGTTGATGACGCCGGAAGGTCAGCTCTCAATGTGTAGCAGTTGTTATGCCTGTGATTAATCTGGGGTAGCTGCCCGGCACCTTAAGCAGGCAAAACACTGCCCCACTTCGGGAACAAGTTCCACAAGGCTTTCTACTTTGAACGGGGAGAGACATGGTGGTGGCCATTGCTGGGCTCCTGAAAATTCTAGCTGCAGTTGCAGCAATGCCTATCTTTGATTTTATTGCCCTCCCAGCCATTAAAAGCCATAACTCTGCATACTTGCTCCAGTCAGTCAAAAGAGTTAAACATTAGATCTGCCTGACAGTTAGGCAAATAGCATTTTCAGATAATTAACAATGGCAGTCTCCTGTTTTCTCAGATGTGTCAATATTCTTCTTTATATGGGCACTTGTACATTTGCACTTGACCACATAATTTTTTTTTTAGAAAGACATAACCGTTATATTGGCATACCCTACTTTTCTCTACCTAACCTGTGAATGATAAAGTATAATATAGAAAAATCTAACTTTTAAAGCAAGTTCTAATACAAAAAAATATACAGTATATATATTATACTTCTCTTTATAAGGATACAAACATGCAGCTCACCTAACCATCATCCATTGTTACTGGAGCTTACATGAAGCTTACAATAAACTATAAATCTCCCAAGTCTAAAAAACACAGTTGTTTGATAAGGCAAAGTGGCCGCAGACACTTGTTTATTTATGGTCTGCTTTTAAGAGTATGTCAGAATTGATTCCATAAGTCCCTGCTGGAATGAGACAGAAGGAATGACTGAATAACATGTCCCTGTAACCTACAGCTGAAAGGCAGGCTCAACTTCCTTCTTGGCTATAAGAGGAAGTCAAAGGGGCTAAGGGGTCAGGGATCAAGAGAATGATTAAAGCCCCTTACAACCATGTAGCAACATCTAGCTAAACGTTAAATACTAATAATCATCTACAGCATTGGGCTCAGCAATGCACCACATTTTTACCCTATTTTAACTCCATCAGCTGCAATCATTCAAATTTCTTCCTCCAATATATACTAAAACTGTGCCTGGCACCCAACCTCACATAGTGATATGTTAACTATGTCATTTATAAGGCACTGTGTTACCCTGTACATCACTGGATGACAGAGCAAGGTCCATTGCATAAAATAAACCTCAAAGTGATGTGACATACTGATGTTTGCTGTGAATAGGTGCAGGTCTGTAGTTGCATATTTATTACCACGTACCACTGATGAAGAATATGTAAATATATCCAATAACAAACAGAAAACACCATCACCAGCCAAAATATGTGTTATATAGAAAAGCAAAGCTAAAGGAAGAAAGAAAGAAACAGGAAAGCAAGAAACAGTGGAGCTAATGGAGAAAAACGCTCCCTCCCTTTAACAGTGGATGTGCTCTTAATACAGGCACAGGATATGTGAAGAATGCGGCATGCAGAGCCGTTATTTACTGCTCACTGCCAGCCAATCTCAGAGCAATACAGCTCTACAGGTACTCCCAAATGTATAACTTGGCATGGTTTGTAAAGATCTTCAAAGCTGTCTTTTTCAAAACGGAATATCTATTTCTGGTTTCTATATGTTTTACCAAAGTTTCACAAGCTGCTGTTTAATCACCATATTTGTGTGTTACATTGGATAGCTTGATAGGAGCAATGAAAAGTGTTGAGGATGTTGTTGACATTTAAGAGGAGGTGCTATTCATTCACAGGTCGGTGCTGGACTTGGCAGTGAGAGCTTGGATACGTGAAGAGTTGCAGGACTTGCAGAGGATGTGTCCATCCAATGGGTAGCAGCCTTGATTTTCTCCTTCAGACAGAAGACTTCCACAGTCCTGTAAAAAACATGACGTTAAATCGCTAATTCAAACGACAAGTGAAAGCATTCAGTGGAGTATTATTATTATGCAGTAAACACAGCATCTGTGCGAAAATCACACTATTGACCCTAAAGTGCATCTAAACCCAAAAACAAAGTTGGAATATATTGCAGCTTACCAGTCCTTAGATGTGGTGGCGGCATTTATTTTCAGCCGGTGATCCTGCCAGTAACACACTTCCTGTCCATGGGTGACAGCCCTAGATAAATGTTTATAGACATACTGGGGTTGATTTACTAAAGGCAAATAAGGCTGTTCACTTTGCAAGGGAATGTTTCCTTAGCTGAATGAATGTGGCGACACGTCCAAGGAAACGTATAAAGAAAGAGTATTTTTGCTTGCACGTGGTTGAGCAGAGGTTCACTTCATTCACTAAGCTAAGAAAAAAATCCCCTTGGAAAGTAAACAGCCTATTTACCTTTAGTAAATGAACCCCTGTGTATCTATAAAGGAGCAGTATTGTCACTCTAGGACAGGAAGTGTGTACCCTGTAACAGAGGGGAAGATGTTCTGTAGTTTACAGCGGTAACTTGGTCCGGGCTGATAGGACTCCCTGGGATTTCAGTGCAGTACAGGCTCAAGGCTGTCAGCGTATTCCAGGAAGTTACAAGCTCACTAAATTTCAGGCAGGATCACCGCATATTTAATTGTACATGTGAAACCAATAAAACAAATCGAATTAAAAACTGTGAAAATCTTCTTAGCACTGCCACTTTTTTTTTTTTACACTAGGCTTTCTGTATGCTAGAGGCAGCAGGTGTCTTTAAGGATAACCAAATAAAAGACAAATGTGAAGTGGAATAAACCGGTGCAGTACACATACAGTATGTCTACATGAAAAACTATTCAGCATGTAGGCACGGCTCCTTACATGCATCACAAGGTTTACAAGCATACTGGTGACTTGTTATATCCAGCATACGTAGCTTTCACCTTAGAGCACCTACCTCACAGCGGTAACACTGCACATGGAAATCACGGTCCAGAGCTACAATACGAACAGTCTCCTCCTGGCCAGGAGCAGGCATTATTGGTTCCCTACATACAGAACACCTTGGAGCAAACTTCCTGCAGACAAAGCAGAAAACAGATGACATTATTATGTTATAGCCATAACATATCAGACAACACTTTACAGACTACATAGAAATAGTAGCAGCAGTCCCTGACCCAAAAGAGTTCACAATCTAATGTCTCTGGCACAATCTTGTAGCCACCCACTCACACTATGGCCACTTTGCTGAGAAGCCCATTAACCTCCCAGTATGTCTCTTTGAACAGTGGTGTTAACTAGAACATTTGAAGGACACAGATACAAGTTATAGAGAGTATATAACGCCATGCAACAAGTGTTTGGATCTCAAAATGACCACTCATGTAGGCTCACAATGCCCTGTCACCAAATAGGAAGTAGTAACATGAGATCACAATTCTCCTCTTGTAGAAGGCGATGGCTCATGCTCCTTAATTGTATTAAAGCACAATTAAAGCCAAAACTTTTTGTATAGAGTGGAGATGAATTAGAACACCTCCCAGGTTGCTATTACTGTGTCCCCATTAGGGAGATTCACCCTCACTATTCTTTTCCTGGTGCCTAATATTACTGACGGTGAAAGAATATCTGGCCTGTTCTGGCTGTCACCAGAACAGGAATAGAGGCGAAATCTTCCAATGGGGACACTAGTTCTGGGGACCCTGCTGACTACCAGGGATTCCTCTCTCTTTGGAAGGATTTTCTCTCACTTCCTGGTGTGGCTATTGGACAGGAAGTCAAGTGACTTAATTTCTACTTTAATAAACATTCTAGTTATTGCCGACTGAAAGCCTTTTGAATACAAGGATCCTATTAAATATGAACAGGTACAGATTACGCTGATATAGTGGGTAAAGCTTTTTTACCATAACTCTAAGGCCATAGCGTGATGTTAATTACGCTCCAATAAAGCTTGCATGACTTAGTGAGCCATACAAAAATATCTGTATATTCTACTGGCAGCAGAATAGAAAATAACACACGCAAAACACATCCCCTGAGACTACAGGGCTTCAGGACATTTAAATAAAAGAGAGATCAAAGCAAGAAAGTCAGTCTTAGGAAATTCTTATCGTGCTACCCAGGATTTAAACACGCCACCCAGGGATTAAGTGGATTAGGGAGAAAAGAAAAAGTTTTCATTTCCCTGGCCACAAATAAAGATGTATTTCACTTATCCAAGAAACCGAACGCACGCCTGTGAAAAAAAAAAATGCTCAAGTGCTTAGCTAGCAGAAGCAGCTGGTCTCTCTAATTGTTTAACAGTTATGTATATATCAAAACATTAGCCTGAGCGTTGAAATACAATATTCCACCACTGATAGTAGCCAATGCTTTTCTACTGTATTTTTACTGATTTATAAAAAGCCCAAACAATGCCAAACCTCTCTCGAATATAACCCAACATGGCAACCCCTTAGGCAAGCTAGTCAGCCGTTTACTAGCTACTAATCCCATCCTTTTCATTATGTCTCACAAAGTAATCAGTCAGCTTGGCATACACTTGAAGAGGTGGGAGTGACTTATTCCAATTGGGAGGCGCTTTGTGTGATCAGGGAGCAGGTTAGGCCAGACTTGATCAGGTACCGCCTCTTCGAGTCTATTATTTTTCTGTGGGAAAATACTTCTAGCTGTACATAATAAGTGACAATAACAACCTGGTAAGTTTGGAGTATAGACTAGTATTACCCATAACTAACCAAAGTTACATTTTTATTCTCTACTGGAAATACGGCATATTTTGTCTAAGAATGGACAATGTCAGAACAGGAAGTGATAGAAAATCTCTCCATTGGGGACACAGACAGAACACATTTGAAGTTGACAATATTTTTATTGCTATATGTGCCTTTCTTTAATATATTGTGCAGGTGTCACAGCGGCAAAAGGGAAGGTAAATTCCACCCAGTGGGGTCACAGACAACAACAAATACCTGAGAGCAATTTTACCTCTTACCCCCTCTATCCAAACACTAAAAAGAAACATTATGCTTGGAGTTTGGCTTTAAAGTTTCATTGGATATTAGTTTTACTAAACTAAATGAATATTAGTTTTACAAAACTGGAATATTTTAAACACTTGAACATTTTGTCTGGTATGTCCAGGCTAGTAGTTAAAGGAGACATATGGGGAGAGTAAAACATACACTCCAATACTAAGATCAGTCTCTGCTTCCAGTCTACACTGCCCCCCTCCCCAGGGATTCTCCCCTCTGTGCACCTCTAGTGTTAGCTGGAGCTACATACACGGGAGGGGGTGGTTGCAGCTGGCTCTAGCAGAGTCAACGGTCAATAAGGCAGGCCGGGTGGATCCCAACAATATTATCAGAATCCTCCTTGACTGTGGTGTGGCTGTGTGCTGTTAGTGGGCATAATCCATCTGATCAATTTTTCATGACTCACAGGTGCCAGACTCCCAAACCATAAAGAGTACCTGTCATCTGCCAAATGCTATCACATAAGGGGCTAGGTATTCCCCTCGTGATTGCAATACAGTTGAGTGAAAGAAAAAAAAGTGTAAAAAAAATGTTAAATATAAAAAGGTAAAAAAATGAATCGCACCCCCATCGACCAATTCACACACATACAAACATGTGAGTAGGGCGCGTCTGTCTAAACCATTCCACAACACATATTGGGTATCATCATGCACGCCAGAGTAACAGAAATAATTCTAGGTCCCTCATGTACAGTTAACTCTAAATAGATGAGCTGCATAACTGATAATTTTGGGTACCATTATTGTTTCGCTGTTTTGCAGGCGCAGGCAGTTTTGAGGCTTCACATATTTGGTATTTATTTAAAACAATTTCTTCTTTTATTTAGTACCACAAATAATAATTTTAGTTTATATTTTATTTGATAAATTGTTGCACAAATATTGTGCAGCATACAAATTGCAATTTTTTAAAAATACAATGTTTCTGCTCAAGAAAAAAACTGGGCAAACAAGGTTTCAGTATTTCTTCTGGGAACAGAAGTGTTTGGTAGGAGGGCCTATCAACAATTTATTGTTTCATCGCTGATAACAGAATGCTTTCAAAAGTTTTTTTCTATTTTAGAACCTAATTTCCTACTACTATTTTGTAGATTTTATGGTCTGACAAACTGCAGCTGCTCTGCTATTCTAGTTCGATGTACAGGGAGCATGTATTACTTTGGCACAAACGCAACCTCACAGGCATCCTATGGAGGAGTCATACTGAGCAGCCCTGCTCATTAGGATTCATCCTTGTCATTGCACCACAAGTATGAGGGATAGATCTGGTTTGTGTACAGACAGCTTTTTTTCTTCTCTGTGATGTCAGTTTGGGAAGATAGTTTTCAGCAGCAGTCTGAAGCCATTTATGTCACAGCCATCTAATTACTTTTTTTCTACAACTACAAGACAAACCAACAAGATCCGAACTTACAGATGTCAGTATTGATTTCTTGTAGTAATTGAGGGGTGTAATGTGCCCTAACAATCTCAGAAATCCTGTGGTGTAATTTTAATTAACATTATGCCTGTATAGATGTATATACGTAAGCAGTGATATCATGATGCACTACAGTCACACTACAGAAGTCTTCGCAATGTGGTTAAGGGCTTGGGAAGAAGAAGGAATGCATGCACTTAAAGCTAACTAAAGTGTTGGGAAAACCATGGGTATTGACTGTGGCTGAAAACATATTAAAAATCAGTAAAAGTATGAATTTGCTTACTTCCAAACTCCTTCACCTGTCTCCGTTGCAACCTCATTGATGACAACCTTCTCGATCCCTTATAGCCTAGCATTCACCCAAAATACTCCACAGAAATTGCCCTCCTAAAACTCGCTAATGACTTACTGTGACCAACGGCCACTATTCAGTACTCCAAAGACTCTTGCTCTTCTCTGGTTCTCCAACTACTTATCTAAGCGCTCCTTCAGTGTTACCTTCAACTCTACCTCCTTCTTTCCATAGGGACCACAATGCTCTGTTCTTGGATCCCTTTGATTCTTTATGTACATCTCTTCCCTTGGTCAGTCGATAATCTTGCATTGCTTCCAATACAATCTCTATTTTGATGGCACAAATCTATCTCTCCCCTCCTCAGATGACAATTTCAGTCTCCTTGCGCATCCCTAATTTACTAACTGACATATTGGCGTGGACATCGCTACTTCTGAAACTTAATATTTTTTAAACTGAGCTTTAGAAATTTCCTCCCCCGACTTTTACCATTGAGCTCAATAGCACAACTATTCTTCCCTCTCCTTATGCCTGGGTGCTAGGTATAATCCTGAACTCTGACCTCTTCTTTCAGCCCCACCTCTGGAACATTTTCAAAATATGCCCTTTCTTAACCAAAGTAACCACTACTAAAGCTACTAATTCACACACTAGTTATCTTTTGACTATTGCAACTGCCTCCTATTTGGCCTAACTCTGCAAAGGCTAACCTCCCTTCAGTCCATCATAAAGGCTGCTGCCAGACTCATTTGCCTTACCAACCGCTTAGGCTGGGTTCCCACCTGGGCGGATTGAATATGCGCGTTTTCCGCGTGTTTTTTTACCGCGGTTTGCGGTAAAAAACGCGCAGCAAACGCGCGTTTCCGAGGGATACTTGGCTGTATCCCAATGGAACCGCCCGACCAAAACGCCCCAAAGAAGTACATGTACTTCTTTGGGCGTAGGGCGGTTTCCCGCGCGTTCGTACTCGCGGAAAACCGCACAGATGGGAACCATACACATTGAAAATAATGGCAATTCCCTGCTTGAGCGGTTTTCCGCGTGTACGAAAGCGCGGAAAACCGCCTAGGTGGGAACCCAGCCTTAGTGTCTGCAACCCCCCCTCTCATCACTGGATTCTGAACACCTAGAGAATTAAATTCAAAATACTAACATCATACAAAGCCAATCAAACCTCCATCTAACAACTGATATTTAACTTTCTCAAATCTCTCATCTCCACAGTTTCTACCTTTTGTATGACTTGCAGTTCCCTTTAAGATTGAAAACTCTCATGAACAGCAGCTCTCCTAGCCCTCTTGTATTGTATTGTACCTATACTTTCTCTCTTTACTTTGTATAGAGCTGCACAGACTTTTGGTTCTAAATACTATATAATAATAATAACAATATAATAATAATAATAACTCTTACTTGTGGAAATCCTCAATGCAGTGAATATGGCCTGATGCATCCACGGTGAAAGGGATTCCATCCAGGCTGCGAAAGCACACTACACAGATAAAGCACTGAGGGTGATAGGCCTTTCCGGTAGCTCTCAGAATCCTCTCCATGATTGGTTTGGAGCAAACGTTGCACTGCTCCAAAGTGCGCTGCATGAGAAGATACAACAAACCTAGTTGATGATGGTTGTAGCATACGACATACATTTATAAAAAACTGTACCAATATTTACAATAGATTATCCTGTTCGCCCACCCAGTCATCAAATATCTTAGAAAGCACAAGGCTGCCTTGTATACCACAATTATCAGAACGGGTGTTTACATTTTAGACCACCGAAGGTCTTAGGCAAAACTCCACATGAATTGCTGAATACACATATGCAAAAATACATATTTGAGCTTTTTCTGTCACCTTTCTGTTTAACACTGCAGATTAGATGTCCAATGATCAGCCCAATAAGCTGGGAAGCTGGGAACTTGGAGTAGCAACATTAAAGTTTTTTTCTTAGGTGCAGGGTTAAGCAGAGGTGTGTGAATCAGAAGACTAGCTAAACAGAATTACAAATCCTGTGGCAGGTAAAAGTATTATAGTGTTTTACCTATGTTTTTAGCCCTTTTTATTTTCTTTCTTTAATAATAAAAAAAAAAATCACTGACATATTATTATACGGGATTTATATAGCGCCAACAGTTTGCGTGGTGCTTTACAAAATGAGGGAGACAGTTACAATACAATTTCAGTACAATAGGGTTAGGAGGGCCCTGCTCATGAGAGCTTACATTCTAGTAGGAGGATATTTATATAGAACTGAAAATACAGCACAGGCAGTCCCCGACTTACGGACATCCGACTTGCGAACCGGGGTCCACAGTTCTCCTAAATGTACTGGCAGCCGCCGGTACATTTAGGAGAACTGTTGCTGCAGTGGTGTGTGTCCCTTCAAATCCCCGCTGCTCTCTTCGCCTGTGTTGGCGGAGGCAGCGGGGACACAGACCGCTGCATTCCTCCGCTGCCCCCCGTACCTCCGCTGCTGTGCTGGCCTCCTCTTCCCCGGTCTGGCCGATCCTCCGCTCCCCCGGTTTGGCCGCAGCTCCTCTGCCCTACCCCCCTGCCTCCTCTGCATCTGCAGGGTGCGAGCCATACCCAGCCTGCTATTGGCTATTGCAAAATGCAATAGCCAATAGCAAGCTAGCTATTGCACCCGCCCACTGCCTGCTGTCAATCAGCGTGGGAGGACCTGATAGAGAACTTTCTCTTTCAGGCCCCTCCTCTGCTGATTGACAGCAGGCAGATGCAATAGCAAGCCTGCTATTGCAATTTGAAATATTGAATAGCAGGCTGGCTATTGCTCCCATCATTAAAATAAACAAAAAAAAATTGAAAAAAAAGTTTAACAAAATAAAATTAAAAAGACAATTTTTTTTCAAAGTAAGAAAAAGTTAAATAAATAAAAATTTAAAATGCAAACAAAAAAAGTTTATAAAATAAAATTAAAAATAGAAAAAAACTTTTTTTGGTGTGTCATTTCAACCACTTGCTGACCGGGGTGTTTATACTCCCTTCCTGACCAGGCCATTTTTCAGTATTCAGCGCTGCGGTACTTTGACTGACATTTATTCCGTCATGCAACGCTGTACTGAAATGAATTGTATACAATTTTTTGGGGACAGATAGAGCTTTCTTTTGGTGGTATTTAATCACCACTATAGGTTTTTTTTTTTTTCTACTGTATAATAAAAAAAGTACTAAAATTTTGGAAAAAAAAACCTGTTCTCCCTAAGTTATGTTATAAAACATCAATTATTACCCAATATTTTGGTAAAATATAAAAGACGGGATCATGTCGAGTAGATAAGACACCAAACATGTCAAGCTCTAAAATTGTGCGCACCCGTTAAATTGCAAAAAACTACCACTCAAAATTGACCATAGCCGACGCTTTAAAAGCTTTTACTGCTCATCAGTTTAGTGTTATCAGTGATTGATGACCCCAGAATTATTGCTCTCATTCCGACATTCGCGGCGATATGTAACATGTGCGGCGCAATGGATGTAATCGGCATTTTCGCACGTAGGCGGGCTTGACGCATGTTTGCGTGTGGGGGCGGGGGACTTAAATTTTTTTTTTTTAATTTTTTTATTGCTTTGATATGTGATTTTTAATTTTTTTTGTAACAATTTTTTTTAAACCTTTTCTTTTTCCACTGAACTTTATTGCTATCGCATAGGGAGCAAGCAAGCTCCCCATGTGATAGCCAATTTGCAGTGACAGGTCCTCTTTATGGAGACATCAGGGGTCTTAAGACTCCTAATGTCACCAGGGACCCCCAGAGAAGCTGATGAAGCAGAGACCTGCTTCACTAGCTTCTCTCTGGGTTCTGTACCGGAGTGAGACACTGAATGCAGGCTGTGATGTAATTCACATCACTGCCTGCATTCAGAAGAGCAGATCAAACGGAGCTCGTGTACTGAGCTCCGTTTGATCTCCGGCCGCAGAGCTGCTGTGCTGGTCACGGGCTCACACCGGGAACAGCGGAGCCCAGGATCGCCAGCAGTGGCGGGGGGGGCCCGCACACCCGACCGGATATTACATGCTATCGGGCGTCTCTACAGACGCCCGAACGCTTGTATGTAAACAGCCATCGCTGGCTGTTTACATTCAAAGCCGGTTTCCCGCTCGTGCTCGCCGCTCTAAAGACGCCCACCCGCCCTCAAGAAGCCGCTGTCCGGCCGTTTAATTATAACGGCCGGACAGCAGGTAGTTAAATAAAACATTTTTTTATTATATTATAATCTTCTGAACAACAGTAACAGACAGCAAAACAAACGTGACCCTTCCCGATGCTATCCAAAACTTAAAAATGTTTTTTTGGCTGGAGTTACACTTAAATGTGCCTGTTCAGACTTTCATACAAATTCAACTTAAGTACAAACCTACAGTCCGTATCTTGTATGTAACCCGGGGACTGCCTGTATACCAAGAATAATTAGCTGCCATGTAACCCACCTATATTTACAAGCGTACAAAATACACCACATTTGAGCAATCAAACGTTATCCTTGGACTGAACCTTAAAACAACCAGCCATAGCTACCAAATATAGCACAATGTTTTTAAACAGTAACTTCTTTCCTGAAATAAATGCCTTCAACTTTTTCACAGGTCATCCCTTTCCTTTTTGAGTTAGAGATCTTATTTCTTTTTTTTAAATAGACATCTTTAAAAGGAAGATACTTTTTACCACAAATATTACTCCCTGTGGAAAAAATTATGCTTTACTCTGGAAAGTATAAAAACAGAAATCTGAACCCATCTATTCCCTTCCATTTGCTAAAAACACCACTATACCAAAAACAATTTCACATTTTAAAAGTTTCTGGTGACTTAAACTACCGAATGGTTTCTTGGCTTTCTTGTGGATTAAAGTGATCAGAACGCTGCCCTTGAGACACAGGTCTGAGCAACTGCAGCTGCCATACAAATGTATATAATAGAGAATGCAACAAGGGTGGCAACATTTCAAGGGAGGAAGTACCACACAAAATTCTAATGCACACAGAAAAATAGAAAGATACTATGACAGAGATATCCCACAGCTAAAGTCCCCCAAATCCCCAAAAGATAGGAGCCATGAACCAGCTCAGAGGTTTAGTTGAAATAAATACTTTTGCATGGATTGACCTTTTAATGAAACTTCGTCATTTAGGATAAGAGTAAAGGAAAGTCTAATGTTATATTTAATGAGAACTAGTCACACTTTTCTACTACAGTGTTTAAAAAAAAGTAGCATATTACTAATTGTAGGCTCAAAATCTAACATTGTTTGATGTTCCTCTAGGTGCCACCATCAGAAGTTATCTTGTGTAAGCTTCCAATCCCAATAGGAAGCCAGGATACTGGCCAAGATAGCAGTATCACCAACAATTCAAAGCTTCTTAAAAAACCTACGTGTGATCAAGCTAGAAGAACCAGGTATAGAAGTTTAGCATATTAGTATATTAGATGCCTGCAAAAAGACAATTGCTTCCCCACAGACAGCAAGAGTCCTATTCAGGAGCTGCTGGCAGGGAACTGGCCTTTCTACTCAGGTTAAGTTTGCTTTAGAAAGAAAACAAACTGTAAGACATTGGACACCTTTTGTTTTGATGCACCTGTTTTTATTTTGTTTTTGCGGATTTAGACTAAGGGTTGAATTGGCTTGTAACTAAAAAAATCCAACAGGAGCGGGACCCAATAAAAATGGCAACAGCGGGTGTGCAGACTCAGGAACTCAAACACATAGATTTCACCAAAACCTTAAACTGTTAGATGGTTTAACTCCTCAGCATCTACCAAAGACTGAGATATCAATTTTGGGTGGAAATACCTTTATAAGCAACACACTGTTTTGCATTGGATTTCATCTAAAGACATTTAATTAATCTAAAATGAGTGCAGGCAAACTAAAGGGTGATTTATTTATAGCTGCTTGGAAGTACTGCAAGGTCTATGCTATAATTAAAAACCAAAATCAACAGCAACATCAAACAGCAAAGTTTTAAAAGCACATGGCACCAATGTGATACTTGTACCTATGTCACTTAAAGCTCCTAGGAGCCACTCATGAAACTGTACCGATGGCCCAATCCCTCTATCATGGGAAGAAGCCATGCAGAATGTGAGCTGCCTCCCAGCTGTGAGGATCACGCATGCAGTCAGACATCAGTCTGACAGATAACCCCAGTGGCACTCCTTTTGTGCAATAGGGACACCTCTATCTTGTGCTAAGCTATGCAACACCCTGTAAATTCATTCCAGCACACACTGTGCTTGAAAACAAAATGTACATTCACCAGATCCATTATAAAATACCTCAAATGCCCTTTGAAGTACAAAACATTATACACTAGTCACTGCAGACTTCCCTGACTGACTATATTTTCTAAGAGATGAAAATGAACACTAGAATTATTGATATAATTAGAGGAATATATCTATATATATCTAGATATATCTAGATATATATATATTATAATGAAATAATCTTGAAGTCCAGGCTTAAAAACAGAGACAAGGATTCTGATCAGTTGTTATGGGCTACAAGATATTGCATTGGCATATTTTTCAGCTCTGATCTGATAAATCGAACATATAAATCACAAACTG